TTATAGTATCATTTCTATTACGGAATTTGATATTTTAAAATATATGCTGTGTAGTAATAATAGCGAATATTCTGATAGGTTTCATACAAAAACCAGTTCCTAAAAATACTTAGAACACAATGCCATTTGCTATTTATAGCCGCCATGACCTTGACTGGCCAGGTTATTAAAAGAACTATTAGTCGTGTGCCCTTAATGGTTTGGTTCCGTATATTTGAATTAATTGAGAAATTCAATTTTTATTTTGTTGGATGGTTGAATATAAATTTTATTAAATCACAACGTCACGAACCAAATAAGGTACTAAAATATTTATATATATACATTCGTCCTGTTTGATTTTTGTATATATTCAAGGCTTTATTTTAAAAACAAAGCCTTCAAACTTGACGGATCATTTATAAAATCAGAAATTACATTTAACGAACGAATTCTTACATATAAAGTTTGCTATATAAAAAAATATTGTAGAATTAAATGGCGTAAAATTTAATTCAAAATCCGTATACAACATTATTATCTTATCTTGATATATAGAAGTGTCATAACAACGAGTGACGCTTGTCAATGAAGTAGTTTGTGAGTAAAAAAAAGTATGTGGGGGGAAAAAAAAATTAAAATTAAACCACGAGAACGAGTTTGATCATATCAATTAATCTATTCTCGAAGATAAAATCTTATCTGATCTAATTATTCCGATGAAATCCTACAGCTCAATTTCAATAATAAAAATCTACTGTTAAAAGCAATACACGGCTTTTTTTGTTCAAACTCTGATTCATGCAAAAAATCCGACTTTTAAATGTAACTACATTTTGCGGATTCTACTCGTTGTTTTATTATTTTATTTTGTTATTTAGATGTTTCTTACGTTGGCTTTACTTTTTAATAACCGTGATCACGGGCAGACGCGAAAATATTAGATATCATTGATCCAATTTTTCTTAAGGAACGCAGATCTCATAGAAACATACACTACTTATTGTTTAACTATTATAAATTGACACATCTTAATATAAAACTTTATACGTTTTGAAGCATTCTTTTAATGGAAATATCTCATTAGAGGTTTATATTTTATATTGATTAAACCTTATTTTATACAAAAACAAAAAAGAATTATTTAACTAAGGAGCCATATTACATTGTTGAAAAACATATTGCTTTGTTTATGTTTACTAACTAAAATGTTATAACAGGATCAATTGTTAGGTTAGTCCGGTCCACAGCCTCCAAACGTTTCCGGGATATAGAAGCTATTCTTAGGATATCAAATTACTTAGACTTACAATTTTTTTCCGTGGTCTTTTTTTGCGTGGGAAAATGCTTAATACTTACTTGCTTGGGGAGGAAAACAAGGAGAGTTATGTCAGACTCTCGTCCGAAAAAGGAGACACTACCGACTAATACCCCACGGGTGTCCACGCGCCGCTCTTCTGCCACAGAGCCCGCAAGCTGATTTTGCTCTACCTCTTTTTCTATAAGATAATTTTTTAAACAACGTTGACGCTTTGGTCAAATTTATTCTCAAGTATTTTTTTTTGAAAATTGCCTAAGTGACAGAAGAATAATAAATAACGGTAAAGGAAAATAACAGGTGTGGCAATTGCTGTCAATATAATCCTACATTAATTTATTAATCTTTCAATTACATCTACAAGATAAAAACGCTGATTAAATAGATTTTAATTTATACACATGTTGCAGATATTATAATTATAGATGTTTTAATTAATTGTATTGCCTGTAGTAGCGAATTCTTTCAGTGAGAATACTATTCAATTCCTGTAATAATCTAATGTTTGTTTTGTAATCTCTAAACAAAACCTTTTCGATATTCCTGGAAACTTACGATGTGTTCGTAAATAATATTCCAGGTGTTATATTTTTAATATTAAAGATTTACTCGTTTCATTTTGTAATATAGTTGAATAAAATTTAATAATCAGGATTCAATCTTGAAACTTCTGAATTTTTATATTCTAGTTGTTTTTTCCGTTTTAGCTATCATTTTTGCCTTTAGTCTAGTATTATAAGTATCTTTAAAAAAAAAATCACAATAACACAATTCATTGTGTAGATATGATATTTCTAGTATTCGGTATTCTTGCTTTTTCAACAACAAAAACAGATTGTTATGATAAAATATTCTCCTATCGGCTCCGAGAAGTTTTTGTTATGTATGCATAAGAGCGTTTTATGGAATTGCATTCTTTACTCCTAGCTCAAAATTGCATAGCCATCATAAAAACAAATGTTCTGACTTTCATATGTAAAGCTTGGCTTATAATAGTGTCATAGAATATTTTTGAACAAAATTTTTACTCAGTCACGGATTAGAAGTAACGGCGTTAGACGACATAAAAGGCTCCTTTCTCGAAACAAAAGAAAATATTTTTTTTTAGTTTTATTAGTATTAAATATTAACACAGATTTCAATTTTTATTAGTTGAATTTATTTTTGAAGTTGCTTATTTATAAAAGAAAGCATAAATTTAATTACCATATAAAATGTATACATATATGTATTAATATAAGGGTAGGCTAGTAATTAATTATTTATGTGTATATTATCAATTATTTATGTAATAACTTATTATATGTGAATATTCACCGGAGCATCCGTAATTTTAGCCATGACTCATAGCGTCACTCGAGTGGTTGATAAATGGCAGTTAATTGCTCTCCCCTACATTTAAAGTACGGTTTGGTACAATTTCATACTATAGGTTAAGTTATGGAAATATCTTCTAGCGTGATAGAAAAAACCCGGAGATATTTCTGCAGAAACTAATAACTATTTACTCTAATAGTTAGCACGATTAATATAGCCTATTTAATCATGTTTTTAAATAAGACAGTGAAGATGGCTATTCATTCACAAGTGTATAACACTTTGTTAATGCCTAATATAGAGAGGAGATTAAAACGGCAGTTTCTTTGTGTAACCTAAAAGAGCTTGCGATCAAAAACGACTTGTGTGGATGTATTCACTTAATATAAAAAGTGTGTTGTGTAAAATATCTGAAAAAATAAATATTTATGGTCGATTAAATAGTAAAAATATGCCAAATCGTTTTCCATAAGATTCCGTTGCCATAAGATTTTCCTCTAACGATATTATAAAAAAAGTTTGCATACAAAAAAAAATATAATCAATAAAGATACGTAATAAAATCCTTTTTTGAAAATAAAATTTAATGATTCGCATTAGATTTGCAAAATAAATTTTAATATTATACAATTTTGAAAATGTTATGAAGTTTTTTCGAAACATAAGTGTCAAGTAACTAATTAAAAAAAGCATATATTTTTGTAATCTTGCTTATATCCAAAAGCGTTTGCATTATGTAACTTTATAATGTTAATACATGACAGACATGCAAATATTTCTGTCAAGTTTGTTAGTAGCAGCAAAAAACTAAAGAATTGTAGAGATTGTTATAAAAAAACTTGTTCTTAGTATCCTTGAAAAATTATATCGTTATAGACGGACGCATAAAATATGAACTTTTGAAATTATCAAAACAATCAGTATGATATATACGTATTGTTGTTTTCTATCACGTTATTAATAATCAATGAATTAAAATTATTACCCAGTTTAACCTTTTTTGAACTTGAAAATGTCTGAGATAATTGTAGTTGAAAATTGATCATATCAAAATATGAGATGTCTATATCTACCAGTAGATAACGGAATCTGTAATTGCAATAGCAACCAAATGTTAAAAGCCGTGTTGTAAACTCCTACTAGCGTTGTTGGGAAACTCGACGATAATGATTTGGTCTTATTAGGAAATATGAATTACTTTATTTTATCTCTTATAAAACGTACATTTTTTTAATCTTTCATAGCAATAACATACATATAAAAGGTAAAATATTTTTAGAGTAATATTTAGAACATTAAAATCTGTTTAACCTAATTTTGAACCTTTTCAATATTCTTCGAATAATAATTGATTGTACCATAGGAAATATATTATGTTAGATATATGATATGGTTTTCAAGAACTTTAATAAATATTGTTAAAAAGAACTCACCGACATTTAGCTGAGGTAATTCAATGAGGCACCATTGAATTGCAAATTTGAAAGATTTTCTGAAATTTAATAAAAAAAGAAATGTTAGATGCTGGTTGTGTTCATGAAGATTGGGTATTGATTTCACAAATTCACTGTGTATATGAGAGTTGGCTGTAGTATCCTTGATTTATTAATTTAAAAATTTGTAAAACAACAACCATTTTAAACTACCTAAAAGTTGTTTGCAAAAAATAACAAAAGAATATATGATTCATAAAAGCAATAAAAATCAACAGAGTGCAATAAACATGTTCAATATTTGAATAGAACATGGCAGTTATAGTCGTGTAAAACGTCCTTGTCATCTTCAAAATCGTGTAAATTCCATTGTAGCTCGGGCGACACCCAATAAATCTATAACGATTAATTAATTCAAATACTATTGAAGCTACTTTTGTATAAGTTGCTGTATATTTTTGTTTGTATAATAAATAACAATTTAAACTTTACTCTACTTATCAATTAAAACTTTTCAAAGACACTCTGTTTTATATTTTTGTGATGAAATCCTTAATCGATTACTATTATTCGTCCGTTTTGAATACTTTAACAATCATCGCTTAGAGGTTATTTGTAAAAACTACAGATCCGTATACAATATTGAAGCAAGAAGAAAAATAGATAGACAAAATGACATAAATAGAAATAAAATGGTAAGAGAGATCGTTCATACGATTCTCCTTTCAAACCTATTCAGGAACAGTGGAAAAAAAAGAATAAAAAATTTGTATACAAGCAAAACCAACTTCAGAGGGAGACGAAAAAATGGGTGTGAAAATCGACCTTTACAATCAAGTGAATTTATGGACCATGCTGAAACACAGACGATTAAAATGAAGCGAAATCGAGTAGATCATAAGTTATTTAATATTCTACTTCCATTCCTCGTATTTAATATCTGTTTATTTAATATGATAAGTGTGTGCGGTGGTAGTGTTAATAAAGTTAATATTATAAAAGACAATTTCAATAAGTCTAAGGAAAATTTAAATGTGGACATTATGAAAGCGTTACAGCATAATGCTAGTGTTAAACATGGTGACAATAATGTTGTGAGAAGTACTCAGAAAGCTCTGGAGAAGGATGATGAAACATCTGATAAATACTCCTCCGAAGTTCAGGAATTAAGTAAATATTATACGTATTATAAAAACAAAGAAGATACAAATAATGAAACAGAAGAAAATGATATATATGTTGAGAGAGATATATACGATGATACACGAGCCGTGGGATATCCTCACGATTTAGCTACAAATCCTTTTTATATAAAAAAGACGAATTTCAATCTAAGACCTGAGGTACCTCAATTTAATGAGAAAATATTAAAATTAGGAGTGCTATTACCAGCAGATTCCACTCAGGTATTTTCGTTGGCTAAAGTTTTGCCTATCGTTGAAATGGCAATACCTGCTATGACGAAACCCGATGGACCATTACCGGGATGGAAAATATTAGTCGATTATAGAGATACGAGGTGTTCGTCTGTTGAAGGACCACTTGCTGCTTTTGAATTCTATGTGAATGGCTCAGCAGGTAAGTTATCTATACTTATTATTCCAAAATAAAGCATATTTTTAAACGTAATCCAAATTGCTATTGCACATGTGTCTGAAAAGTAACAAATATTGATAAAAACAAAACATTACAGATGCTTTTATAGGACCTGGATGTGAATACGTTATTGCTCCCGTTGCGAGATATGCAGGTTCCTGGGGTATTCCAGTTATCACTGCTGGAGCTCAGGCTGAGGCGTTCGGTTACAAGCATCCAAGCTATATGACATTAACTAGAATGATGGGAAGCTACACTCAGGCGGGCGTTGCTATACGAAAAGTCTTTGAGGTAAACCTTGGTACCATATGTGATGTTTTGATGTTGTGATCGTGCTGTGTTAGTACTATTACATATAATTATGTTTTATATTTATTTGTGATTTTAATTTTTTTTTCTGGTATACTATTTTTATTATCAATAAAAATAATATAATGCATTATAACTATATATAAAATTTAATTTAAAAACTATGGACGGCATGATATCTTTATGAAGGTTATTTGTTGTCGAAATAAAGGATTTGGGTTGTAATTTTATAATACAGCCATAATTTTAAAGTCAAATTACCTGTAATTACGTGAATGTTGTAAAAAATGGAGCTCTATCGGATGTTGTTTTTTTTTTTTGAAGAGTTTTTGTTTGTAATTCATATATAATGTTTATTATTATTCTTTACATAATTAGCTTTTATTTATTTTTGTGTGTTTTATCATTATTTATAAAGATGTGTATCTATGCATTAAATTATTTTATTAAAGTTATATGGTAATTATGAGGTCTAAGATTTTCGCGAGTAATCATTGAAATGAAATTAATATTTTCGGATTTACTAAGGGATTTTTATTTTTGATTATAAATTACATACTCTCGACATTTTGGTCACTTTACAGCAACCGTGATCACTTCTGTGTGTATCACATCTCGTCTGCCGTAATTTTCGCACTTACTGAACAGAATAAATATTAGTATCATAAAATAATTCTTGGATATTATTTATTATGATAAAAATAACGAAGTTCTTGTATACCATTATGTCACAATTATACTTTTTTAAAGAAATGTGATGGGTCATAACTACAATATTATTCACTATAAATAAGAAAGAAATAGTCATGAAATGCAGTCATGGCAAATAATAAATATTTAGCGTAGTCACTGGCGCCTCTTTTTCATCGTATTTTATATTTTTTTTAGTTATTCTCGTTTGTTGAAATCTTTTATTTGTTACACAGTGAAATGGGATTTTCTTAGTGGAAGAAATGCTGCTTTTAAAATAATTTGGGGTGTAATATTTGTTTGTCTATCATCTTGTTTTTCTATTGTCGCTGTTATTTATTTGTTGAAAAGTGTTCGGTTCCTTTTATTTGTGGCTTTTTGTTAGATTTACTCTATTTTCAGGTTATCGGATAGTTTCGTATAGATTTCTTGTTTTTCTAGTTTTTATGAATGTTTATTAATTTCCATTACTCATGCTTAAAGACTAACTACTAGAATAACTTAATTTGGAATAAATTATTATAAATAAGGTGTTAGTTAGGACTTGTTTAAGTATATTATATAATATTTATATATTTATCTCGATTAAAGTTCATTGAAAGAAATCTTGAAAAATGTGCACATAATGAAATGCTTCGCAAATGTCTATAAAAATTAAATTGAAAAAACTGAAAGTATAATTAATTATTGACGATATTATGATTGTCAATAATGTAACAAAGACACAAAGTAATAAAGACAGCTGGTAAGACTAATACATTTCACAAGTTGATCGTAATTACTGCAAAAATTGTTTTTCTTATTTATTTAAACCGTACTAATACCAGTATTTTAATAAACTACTTATTTATAAGCAAACCTATAAGGACAAACCATTTTTTATTTTTTTTATGACTATTTTTATGTCTGAGGTTTAATAACCTTTTTTTAAAAGAATACAAAGGACTTTTATGATTTGTTACAGGAGTTCAATTGGCGTAAACTTGGGATGCTTTATCACAACAACAATCCATCTACTGGAAAAGGCAACAGTCCTTGCTTCATGACACTGAGCGCCATATTCTCAGTGCTTCAGAAGAAAGGCACAGGGAACATATCAAATATTCCCTTCGACGAAACAAATACAACCACAACTAAAATAAAAGAATTGCTAATGAAACTCTCTCTTTCCACGCGAAGTGAGTATTTGCAAAATTTAAATCCTCGTCTTGAAGAAGTTGAAAAGAAATTTTTTTGGTAATGAAATTAAAATTTTGGTCCATTCAATGTGTGTTTGTAATTTTCTAAACTTTTAGATACAAAAATATTTAAACTTGATAGACATCTCGACTGGAGCAATACACGATGTAAAAAATATTACATGGACTATTTAAAACTAAGCCGTAATTATGTATTTCTTTGAGTTTTATTTTCCTTTATATCTTAAGTATACCACAAGGATTCTCATATATTTGTTTTAAAATTTTGACATACATACATTGGTAACATGTTACGTAACGGCACGTGTTAGTTGTCGTGGTACAGAAATAGGTACTGACATTTCAATTTAATACCACTTCGATGTAAGTACATAGTTAGTTCGATTTTCTATAAACAAAACCTTTAATTTAAAGCCTAATGTGACTATGATAATAAAAGTCCAAGAACAATATTATATATCTTTTTTTGCATAGCAGTTTATATCAAAGATGATCTCGTTTTCTGATGTATGTTTTTAAAGTTGTAAAATAATCACCTTCTTAAAATTATACCCAAGAAATAGGTTATAAAAAAATAAAATAAAATTGCGGGAATTACCCTCGAGGCACTTAGAATCATTGCTAATTTTACACAGACAAAGGACATAATCGTTGTCAGCTGTCTTTTGTCTACCAATGATTCAATTCGTTTTAATAGCTTTTATTGTTTAAGGTGAATACATTTTCTTTTATTACTTCATTCATTTTATACTCAGAATTATAATTTTTAAATTTTACATTTGAAGGAGACATTTCTAGTTCGTTGTAACATATTGGCAATTTCTTACTCGGTATTAAGTTTTCGTTCTTGGAATAAATCTGAATCGCTTTCTGCAAAGAAATTTGATTGTCTGTCAATGTCTGGCGATGTATCTTACTGAATGTTCAGTTTGGAATTGTTTGATAGTTTAATATTTGTGGATAAAATTTTGGGTGTGTGTTTTTACACATTACTTTTTTTATTTATGCACTTTTTACTTATATTATTATAATGGAGATATGTATGTATTTCTATTGAAAATATTTTTGTCAAAGTTGTTGTGTTTGGGGATCGATGATTTCTTTTTCAGGATTAAAAATTTATATTGGAAAATTTACTAATTGTATTTTTTTTAGTTGTCGTAGTTTGTGCTAACCCGAGTACAGTGAGAGAGATAATGTTGGCGGCGGATGATCTCAACATGGTGTCATCTGGTGAATACGTGTTCTTCAATATCGAACTCTTCTCCAAGTTAGTTTATTCTTATATTTCAAAAAAGTTTTTCTTAATATCACATCGCTACAACAACGATTTCTTTTAAGGAAAACATTTATATATTTTTTCCTATTATTTAGTATTACATATAGACGTAAAATATTATGAATTACATGTTATGTAGCCATTTTGGAAATGAGGAAACTGTTATGACGAAATATTTATAACAAACTAGATGAGATTAATTGCCATTAAGTTTCCTTCAATCCATCTTTATTCAATATAATTACTTATAATTGCACCATTTTATTATTATTTATTGCTTAATTATATTAAGATCAATGATAAAACATTATTACACAGTACATTTATGATTACTGTGTTGTCTTCATGTAGTCATATGTTGATATAAATGTATAAATAATGTATTAAATTTATAAATTTATAAAATCTAATATTACACAGATTACTTTATGTTGAAATGAATGCTATCAGTGTCATGTTGTCGCAAAGGATTTGTCTCTTACATATATTTACATAAATTGAACAATACATACACGAATATATAAAAAATGAGGAAAATATTTTATTGGAGTTATCCAATAAATTTTAAAATATATAACGCTGTACCCTTACAGTTTTAAACACCATCCATGGTGTCAAGTATTTAATACAATGTAGAAAGGACTTGATGAATTTGAGCTAACTTTGTACGAAATGACTAAGTAATAAAGGAATTTTATTAAATAGTTTAGCTTCCGCTTCATCTAAAGAACCCTGGAAAGTGGAAGGTGACACTGAAGAAAGGAATGAGAGAGCTAGAAGAGCTTATAGTGCTGTTCTTACAGTCACAAGTCCAGCACCCGAGAAGAAAGAATATTTAGAGTTCTCGGATCAGGTATTATAATAAGACAGACTTTATTAATTCCAATAATACGCAACGTATAGTATAATATACGATAACTAAATCGGTAAAGCTATGAAGGACTTTTCCAGAAGCGGATAAAACTCATGGTTATTTTGTTTATAGATATTGACTTTATCATTTTTATTGAATTATCTGCTTTAAATTTATAAATAACCCTCCAAATTTTAATTGTATTTACTATTTTTTAAGGTCAAAGAATTGGCTGCCACAAAATATAATTACACATTCGGAAAAGGTGAAGTGGTTTCTACATTCGTAGCGGCATTTTACGATGCGGTTCTTCTTTACGCCTTGGCCCTAAACGATACTTTACGACAAGCGACAAATCCTAGAGGACAACTTGATGGAGCAGCTGTTATCAAGAACATGTGGAATAGGACTTTTCAAGGTGTGTTAAATATATTTCGTACTTGTAGTCGTATAAAATTCAATATGAAAACAAATAAAGCCGTAAACAAATAAAATCAGAACAAATATCTTTAACAAAGTCATTTAAATGTTTAAATAAATAAATCCTTATATGAAGTGAGACATTTAAGAAATAACATTTCTTTTTTTTTTAAGAATTCTGAGATTTTTTAAATTGTCCATATACATACCTTTCCGAGTCTTTATTTATCTCCGTAAAACAATTTATTTAAATCGGTACAGTACTTGGTGTATAAATGTAATAGTGACATCAAATAACTATGTTTCCATTAATGGAGATTTGTATGGAAAATTAAAACAAAAGTAACGTTATTCCAATATTTTTAGAGGAATTGTGATAGTAAGTGGAAAAGATTGTTTGAGAATTAAAATAAATATAATCTTACAAAAGTGTGCTCTATTATTTAGGCGTCATCATTTTTCCTAAACTAATTCTCGACCTCTTTTTAGGAATAACTGGAGAGGTCATTATCAATGGAAACGGCGACCGTGTGGCGTCTTACTCCTTACTGGATATGAATCCAAATACAAGCAAATTTGAGGTAGGTGTACACTTTTGCATCAATAAACAGAAAAAAAATGTTAATACATATTAACAAAAAACAGTTGTATTTCAGAATTTATTCGCAATTTAAAATATATAATAACTGTTTTATCTCTGTCTTATAGTCCGTGTAAAAATATTATTGAACTAGCTGTGCCCGCGACTTCGTTCGCGTGGAATAGTGACTATGAGCAGCGTTTTTTTTAAAAATATATACTTATTTTTATTTTGGATCATAATCACAGTCATTTTGGGTAGCTAAAAAACCTACTTTACTGTAATGCTTCTCTATATACAATATTAGACGTGTGGCCATCGGGGGTGAAAGCATACAGGCTGCTGGGATTGCTAACACGGGACAGAGCCACATACAATTGACACACCCGGTCGAATATGAACGCAGTTCTTCAGTTCTTTAATTTGACATAACTTTTTTATTTATGAACTGATTGACATGAAATAAACACTAAAGCATAACTGAAGCATACCACAATATATTCGTGAAAACCGCATCCAACTCGGATCAGCCGTTTCTGAGATTAGCGTGAACAGACAAACAGACAAAAAAAAAGTTAATTACATTTTTCTGTTCGACATCGACATAACAATAACCCCTGCTATTTTTTTTATTTTTATTTTCAATGTACAGACAGCACTTTTCTACAATATTATTATATGTATAGATGTGTTTTAATTCTTATTTATTTTAAATGATGTCATTAACAGATATAATTTGATCCAAAATTGTGTGAAATAATATGAGATTTTATATAAGCTTTTAAAATATATAAATTTATGTAGACATTTATTTTTGCCATTCACTTGAATTTAACAATTAAATAATATTTAATACTTGACTTGAACATTCAAATTCGTATTAATACATTTATATATTACATATATATTTTGTTTGTGATTATGTTATTTAATTTAAATAATAGGTAAGACAAATGATCTATGAGCTAAGAGGCTAAGAGATTTTTTTAAATATTATTTCACACTCTGTCTCATGATATTTACGTAGAAAAATATAATGCCAAGTGCTGATGCCTTTACCCAATAAGCTTCAAAGTTTCTGTATCGATGACAAAGATTAACTCAGTCTGAGTTTGTCTCATAAACTTGATGTCGGTTTCAGCTTATTTTATCATTAAATTCACGATGGTACAAAATATATTATATAGATAAAAATGTTGAAAGATGTAATTTTAGATAAAGAACAAATACTCGCAATAAGGTTAAACAAAACCCGTAGAGTCAAGCTTATAAAGTCTGTTTTTACGTTTACGATACTACGTATAAGATAGTTTACCTAAAATAAGTTTTTCATTGGTTTTGTACCAATCTCAAAAATTACTGAGATTGAAAGGTTGTATGGGAAACTTAAAGGGCACTATGTGAGCCTCTATAAACTTTGAGTAAAATGTTAATATAAATTTTATTTTAAAATGTCAATGAGGTCCTAATCAAAAGATAAAATTAAAACAGAGATAGAACATTCGAACATTTGAAAAACAAAAGTACTTATTTATAAAACAAAAATGAATGAAGGGTTATTTAGATAGCATGTGATCATCCCTGGGATAAAAGGGTTATTTATACTCCTCGGAGGGTCTAATTTAGTTACCGTACTCTCCTAATGTGTCTTCAGAACTAAGGTATCACGCACTAGCAATATATAAAAGGAATATTGTGTCGTCCTTTTCTAAATACAAACATATTTATTTATTTTCATTTAAGTGACCTTTATAAAGGTTTTCATATTATTATTACTAATTTCAATGTAATTTAAAATAATATATCGCGACTGTAAAGCAAGATTAAAAGAAAGTGATAAACTCCATCATAATTTTAATCTCTTAAACTTTAATCATATTACATAGAAAGTTTTCATATTTATTATCTTGTGAAAAAGTAAAAGAATGGAAATTTGCTCACTCCTGCTTTCATTTCGGAGTTGAAATGCGAAGCTTAGCTACACATGTGAGATTTCGTGTAACGTGTTCGCATTTTTACGAGCACATGATACATACTTTCGCAGTGTCACAGTTTGGCAATATTGACATAAAGTATATAAGTCATTATGTGGAGACATTGAACTTACGCCGAAGGAATTTTTCGTATGACTCATATTGTCAAAGTCTTGGCATGATTCTTTTATGTCCTAGATACGATAGCTCTAAGTAACTTTGAAACAGGTTATGAAAAAATATTAAGAATATAAAATTCCTTGCTACCTAACGTCCTGTAACTATATATTAAATATGGCTTATTAAACAAAACTAATAAAGGCCATTACTTAACACATGGGTAAGATTTATAAAAGATAATGGAAGGCACGTCACAGGATATCCGTGATCCCAACTAATTTATATATCCACTCAGCGGATGACATTCGCTCACTTATATGTGAAGAATATATGGAGACTTTAGCTACATACTTCAATTCAACAGCTTCTGACATGTTGAATAATATATTAAATAACTGAAGACCTTACGGAATAATAAGGAGTCGGCACTTTTATTTTAATAAAAGGAATTGAAACATCATTAGAATTTTAATAATCAGTATTCGTGGCCAAGATAGGAAATCACTGTTTGATTAAAAAACCTACGTAGCAACTTAAATGAGGGGACGCATAAATCAAGGATGATAATTGGTTGTTTGTTTGTTTTTAAAACTAATTAAATGATAAAATAGCTCATTTCAATCTATAAGATACTTATAAAATACATTTTTCTCTAATGATAAATTTAGAAATAAAACCAGCTCTTAATAACTGTTTATTGTTTCAATTTAGGATTGCGAGATTGAAAAAGTTTGTTGCTACCAATTAGTCTTCATCAATTTCATACAGAAAGGCTTTTTTGTGAAATTTTCTTATTATTTTGGGAGCTGTAGGATAAATAATACAATCTTTGAGTATTTCTCTATTTAAGAAATGTGTAAAAAGTCCTGTATGTCATATCTATTTTCTGAATCATTGATTCAAACTATCCATTATTCAATATAGACCTGAACACATTTTTTTCATAGATTTCAAATCAAATTACGTCTCTGTATAAAAGCGAAATGACAAAAATTATTATGATTTCAAATTTAAATATATATACTTAAAATATCTTAATTTATATGAAGCATATATTTTCATTTATAATTTAACATAAAAACAGAAAGAGCTGAGTTGATTTAGTAAATATAGAAAGCGATGAGATAGACGTATTGTATGTTAATAATCTTCTATATATATAAAAATGGATTGCTGTTCCTTAGTCTCGCTAAAACTCGAGAACAGCTGAACGGATTTATCTTACTCTTGAAATGTTCGTGGAGGTTCAGGGAAGGTTTGAAAGCTGAAAAAAAATTGATTCAATTCCGGGAAAATCCTAAAAACAGCCCTTTTCTATTTCCCATACAAACGTTTTCTTTGACATTAGATTTGACAACTAACTAATATGTCAATCATTCTGTTCGATAGAAACAGGACAAACCTGATTATTAATGGCCTCTAAAATGGAATAGAGTTCGCCCGGTCAGCTATACATATATTACTAATGACGAAACTAACGCGGACGAAGTCGCGGGCAAAAACTAGTCACATATAATTAATGTGAGGCTAACAGCCCATTATTTATTTTAAGGTACAAAGTTAAATTAACATCAGGATTTTGGATATTTTTTCTATTTGCCTACCTTGTTATTGTAATTCTAATTTTTTAAGTTTTTGCACATAGGAAAGAAATCCTTTTATACTTTCTTTTAATCAAATTGTCGAAACTATCAGCCGTCTTTCTTATAAATATTTAAAGATTTTAAGTTAAAATCAATATCAAGAACATAGCCTGATGATTTAAGGAAAAAACTATCTTACTTTATTTATTTATTTTTCATTTATTTATATACTAGCTTTCCGCCCGCAGCTTCGCCGCGTGGAGTTCGGTTATATCGCGTTTCCAAGAGAACCTTTCAAAAGTCTGGGATAAAAACTATCCTATGTTCTTTCTCAAGGTCAACTCTATCTCTGTACCGAATTTCATTAAAATCAGTTCAGTGGTTTAGGCGTGAAAGCGTAGCAGACAGACAGACAGACAGACAGACAGAGTTACTTTCGCATTTATAATATTAGTAGGGATGTCAGTTATTAAGTAAAATTCAATTTAAATGATAAGGATTATTTTTTAAACGAATTAGACTGAAAAACTTGAAAATATAATTTTGTTTAAACAAAATGTTCGTAATATTTATCTGTGACTTTATATATTTATGCTTGACAGTATTGTTGTATAAATCTTTTTATGTATATGGATATCATTAATAAAAATAAATAAAAGATATTTTAACATATGTAACATCTGTTTCTATCTAAATTTTAAACCATTTTGGAGATTCAATTTAGTGAAAATCGAAACAAGAATGGATTTTGAAATTGCTTTGAACTATTCGAAGAGTATTTAGTCGGTTGAATTTCGTCATATTGAGTAACAACCGCTTGAATCCTCTGATGCTCATTTGAATTAAGGATTTAAATGCCTAGTTTTCACATAAACTATCTATAAATATATAGGCACACACAATAAAATAAATTTGCTTCAGATATTTTTATAAGAGACGAAACTATATTGTAGTATTCATAAATTTTAATACCATAAACTCACACATTGTGCAATAGTAAAAATTATAAATCGAACGTTTGTGTGTTTTTAAATTTCTTCCCTCGATGTAGAATATTATTTAATTGGTGTTTCGTTTTATTGCAACACCTGATATTATATTAGCAAAAAATATTGATATATTATGTATAGTTCCGATGTAAAGTAATATTAAGTATATTCTATAGGTAGTCGCGACATATGTGGCAGCAAACTCTTCTCTACAGTTTATTGAGAATCGCCCTATTCATTGGGCTGGAGGCCGCGACACCCCACCTCCCGACACCCCCCGCTGCGGTTTCGATGGTTCCCTATGCCCTGATACCTGTAAGTAATTTCTAGTTTGCCTATTCTAAATTAGGTACTCATCTCTTAGGTATTATATTTCAGTAAGCAGTAGTTTGTAGCAAGATGTACCTACATAACAACTCCTATCAAGAACAGAATTCTCGGAATAGAAAATTAGATGGGTTTATGAAATGGAGGGAAACGTGTATTATCATATTATTGAATATCTAAGTTGTGCTTACGTTTTCGCTGACATGATGAAAAAATATTTTATTTATGCGTGAATGAAGTGACTCTTTTTTTTTTGGTAAATAACTTATTTTATTGTCAAATTATTAACATACCAAAGATGTTGGCATTTGAGAAATAGTTGTAGGTGAAGACCGTTAACCTTTTCAATGTATGTATATCTGTTTATTAATGAGTACTTTATCCTAATTAAATTATTGTTATTCTAAAAGAAGACCTATTTGCACTATTCCCAATGATAAACTTATTTTTTTATAAATTTATTTTTCATATCTTCGTTTCCCCATTGTAGAAAAGTATTTGTTAATCCACAAAGGGTGAATCAAACTACACCATTGACTAGTTAAGTAGTCGGGAGTCAAGAGTTAAATCGTTTTTAAAAACTTTGCTTACTACTTTGTTTGTTTTGATAATAGAAAACAGAAATTACAGATTAGAATGCAATAAATCTTTTAAATTAAAATCGCTTGCCGTATAAAACTAAATTACATGCTTGAAATATCTAAAAGAGGGTGTATATCTTTATTAATTAATGAATTTGTAAGATAAGCCTCAGCGCTATAATTCACAAACGTCATTTTCTATAGAATAGATTGATGTCCGGGTTTCCTGCGGTTCTTAAACCACAACTTACCTCCTGCTACCGCACTTATCGATGTAATTATATTTTAGGGATTGTGTCTGAATGTATTTAACATACATACAAAGGCCTACATTAATTTACAGGATTACGGATATATATGTTTAAAGTAAGATAAGGTTCATTTTTTATTCAGTAGCTCAATTACTAGTAACTGAACCGCAGAATCTCTCTACAGAAGTAATAATTATTATATTCTCAATACGTTGAAATTAAAATAATTTGAAAAAAGGCTATAAACTAAATGAAAGCAGACAAAATACTTATATTGTTAATTTTGTTTCAGCTTTACCAGTGTATGCTATTTTGAGTATCATCCTGAGCTCGGTAGTGGTAATCTTAGCCATCCTGTCGGTATTTATTTACAGGTTAGTACTTTATTTACCGTATCCTAAAACAACACATTACGTTAAGCAGTCTTCACGTCATTGTGTAAAGATCCAAGTAGACAAAGATTGAAAACGGGAATAGTATTGAGGTGCTTTAAAAGGAAAAACGAAAAAACGTTTCGATAGCGAATTGACTCTAGTTTAGATATTTACAAAATATGGGTTTATAAAATGTTTACTTCTCCGATAATATGAAATTCTGTAGTCGTTAGAATCAAATGAAAGCACTTAGCTATATGCGTCATTTGATGAGGAATAAAAATGGTATTCAAAGTTGGTTTAAATTATATTTCATGTAGCAACAGTCAGTTTTTCTGGCCTAAAGCACTTTTTTGCTCGTAAACTTCTACTAACTTAAGGATCTGTTACACACAAACGTTTGTGTGGGTAACAAAAACCCTGTTATGTAGTATATGTATCCCTGAAATTGTACATGTGTAAAACTACACAATGTCTGTGCGATTTTATGGTGACTGGGTATTGATGACCAATTTTAGTTTTGAAACGAAATGAATACAGAAATTTATATTTCATATAAAAGAGACTGCATCAAAAATAATGTTTTTTTGTTAAGAGTTAATAGAATCAAATCTTGCTTTATCTAGCATTGACATCAAAGTATTAAAAAAAGTCATTACACATATGGTTACCATTAATGTATTTCTTCTAGTCTGTAATAATTAAGTACTGTAATGTTCTTACAAAACTTATATTAGCTTTAAAAAAGTGGTTAAAACAATTTGATATTTAAGTTAAATAAGAGCTAAATTCACATAAAACTTTTATATATAAAATAAAATCATTAGAAAGTTTTTAAATGCTATAAAATGTATGATAAATGTGAGATCATTAATAAATATAAATCATTGTCTTGAACTTATCGTAATGTATATACCCATAAATAAAATATTTCAAATTAAATTGTTTTATGCTTGCAATTTACATAATACAAAGAAACGCTTTTAATATTTTTTTGCTCTCAGTATGTCAAATAAATCATTCTACGAGAAGCCGTCAATAAATATTAGTAACTAATGTAAGGGCTAAGAGGATTGATAAAATATCGTATGAGCGTAGTGCTCAATTCCTTCAGAATAACTACTAAGATCTTGTGTTAATATATACATTAATTTGCAAATTCACTCTTGTATTGTTATAGATCCTAAAAATCAATTAGTAACATTTGAAATTCGAAAAATATTTGAAATTTTAAAATCCCCTTTAGAGTGAATTTAGAAAACTACTTGACCTCACTAATTATGGTTTTCATTCTCAAATATCTGCACTCTAGTCAAATCTTAGCCTTCTTTACATTGCCGCAATATGATTTTTAAATAAATAGTATATAAAGCATCTCTTTCCTTAAAAGAAAATAAAAATAATATTTTTGGATTTTGATCTCGGAAATAACGTAATTTGAAACGATAATTTATATGAGACTAAAATAGAAGTCTTCGATTTTGAAATTGCTACAAATTTTAGTAAAAAAATAAATCTTAACTAATATATTTTATGATCTTTAACAACCTTATCAATCCACGCATTAATTTTTAGACGTCCACAACTATAAAGGAAAAGCAACTATGTATTATGTTGTGATACCTATTTTTGAAAAGTGATTTCATTTTATAAGAATTGAAAGTAAATAAAGTTCTTTTTAATTTTGAATAATAAAATTTCTGTCTTATAATGTTATTCCAGTAATAAATTTGCATTTTAAAGTAAAAAACATTTATATTTCGATTGTAAAGTGTTTAAATGTTATCTTTGAATATTTTATGTCAGTAACAATAATTCAAAGAATTTGTACTATCATCACTTTATTTCCGATATTTTGGTTGATCTATAGAGTAAAATGGGGTTACTGTTATTTAAAATATTTACGTAGAGTTAAATAACAATTTGTCTCATAATATTTACTTCTGATGTTATTTTAGAGAATTTTAATAGGTTTATTACGTTTCTATTAATTAATTTCATGAAACACTTAACAGTTTGCGACTTAAACATAAAAGTAATTATTTTAAAATACTTCTTTGTCATGTTATTCGCATTCATATTAATAAACATGATCGAATATTTTAAAAGCTAAATTATTTTAAAATTAAATAACGGATTGTAAAAATAAAAAAGACAAATGATATACAATTGACAACAAAAATGACATCTTTTAGTGTATTTCTTTGATCATGATTGATGCAAAAAACTTATCTTATTTTGAACAATTCTCATTTGTCTCGTGAATAAATTTATCGTCTATGTCTCCGATTTTTTGGTAAGTAAAAATATTATAAAGCACTAAATTTAAAGACGAATTTTCTTATTTAGACACTACAAATTAGAAGCTGAGATAGCTATGATGACGTGGCGAGTGAGCTGGTCAGATGTATTGTTACCGGGACGTTTTCGTGGCAGTATTCACTCATTAGCTAGAAGATATAGTTCAGGGGTAAGTATTGATATGACATTTATATTTAATAATCTTATTAAATCTTAGTAAAAACTCTTCTTACATATTTTCTTTTTGTTTCCCACACATATTATATTCACGATGTAATATTTACACCTATTCAAATGTAAAGAATTTTCTTGAGCACAAAGCGCCATTTTATTGATACATACTTGAACAATACTGTAATTTCTTTTTGAATTGACGAAAATACCGTTTTATTGGTTGTTATTAAATTATATAACTGGTAAATATTGCCTTATTTCATGTCAGTTAAAACACACAAATATAAATTTGGTTACCAACGAGACTAAGTGACAACTCATCTGATAATCGTCTGCCACGGTTGCTGTAAATTAATCGAGATGTAGGAGATATATAAAACAAAATTATAAAACCGCGTGATGTATTTGAAAACTATAGTTTCTTTTGAATATAAACTTGTTGAAAATCAAGCAATTATTCGTAAATGATATGTTTCTTCCAGTGTGTTCAGTTTTGATGAATTTCAATACCTATTAAGTTATCTAAAAATATAACTCTATTATTTAAAGTTTATATTATATGATATTACTAAATATTACTGTAATTAAACACTAAAGTAAATAAAGATAATTTTCAGACCGCATATTCTGATGAAGCAACTTCCCTTCCCGGAGATCGTCAAGTGTATGCTCCTTGTGGGTTTTACAAAGGCTGTCGTGTTGCTGTAAAAAAGGTTGACAAACAAAGAATTGACCTAACAAGACCGTTACTATTGGAACTTAAGAAGATGAAAGACCTAGAACATGATCATCTTGCGAGGTTTTATGGTGCATGTGTTGATCCTCCACATTGCTGCCTACTCACTGAGTACTGTCCTAAAGGTTCGCTACAGGATATTTTGGAGAACGACACTATCAAGTTGGATTGGATGTTCAAAGTCAGTCTGATGCATGACATCGTGAAGGTAATATATTACTATTAGGAAATGTTGTATCTTATCTAAACAAATAACATATTGCAATAATTTATTTCAATTTTAGTTTATTTCTTAAATTAATATATGTAGAAATATATTACGTTGTCTATTAAGTGCGTTGACTTTTTGTTTTGTAGCGGTTTTTTTGGTTTAAATATAGCTTTACTATATGCAGTGTCAATTGATTTATGAGTTTCATTTTTGTTAATGTGGAATTATAAATATATGTAATTATTGTTTAAATTATGACTACGTATGTTTTGTAGGGAATGCACTATCTTCATAGTAGCGACATAAAATCTCATGGGGCTTTGAAATCTAGTAATTGTGTTGTGGATTCCCGTTTTGTACTCAAAATAACGGATTTTGGTCTGAATGCTCTAAGAACATCTGAGAAAGATGCTAAAGCACATAGCTATTGGACTCGTAAGTAATTAATAATATATATATAACTTATATACTTATTTATATGCCATAAATACATAGGTGAAAAAATAAGAAAAATATTATAAAACTAATTTTAAATAAAACAGAAACAGTTCTTCTATGCTAATTTAAATATTGTTTAAATTTTGATCTGTTTAAACATTATTGTAATAGATGTTATAATAATATAATTTGGTATAAATATCTAAATGTTATCAAGAAAATTAAAATATTTATTTAAATAGACGTGGGCGACAAATTTTAGTTTAAGTGATCTTAGATACGAAAAAGTAATAAATAATGACCCCAAAATTCAAAAAACTAATTTATGCAATTTAAATTTCTTGTTTTTTTCCTACAACAAAACAAATGGGATCGCTGAATTGTCGAAATTTTTATTTCTATTTTATTCATTTATCTTATAATTAAATTTATTAGAATGTAGAAACACGTCAATAGAGATAGAAATGTTTTTGTAAATGTTAATGATATTTTGAGTTTTTATTTAAGACTTTTTTATAGCTATATTAAGTAAATTTATTATAAACAGGTTTGTTGTGGACGGCTCCTGAACTGCTTCGAATGGCCGATCCTCCTCCCGAGGGAACGCAGAAAGGAGATGTTTATTCATACGGTATCATTATGCATGAAATAGTTAATCGACAGGGCGTATTTTGGATAGGACCAGACATTGATTTATCACCTAAAGGTAATTTTTAAAACTCCATTTTTTAATGAGATCTAAGACTTTAACGAGTATTTATTTTAATGAAACTAATATTTATTGAATGGCCCTCTGCCCGTGATCACGGTTGCTGAAAACTCACCGAAACGTCGGGAGTATGTAGTTTTTACAATAATAAAATACTCGTAGTATATTCCAAAAAGATTAGCTTCATTTGTTACTTTACAATATTGTTCCTAAAATGTATGATCGTTACTATGTATTATAGCTGGTTCTAAATATGGTTATAATTCTCTGACAGAAATAATAGACGCAGTAAAAGGTAGTAACTTACGTCCGAACACGACGTATAATCGGTCTTGCGAAGCGGATGATGCCACTGAACTTATGAAGCGATGTTGGACGGAGGATCCTGTCGAAAGACCAGATTTTGGACATTTGAAAGGAGCTATTCGACGGCTTAATAAGTAATGATTATGTACATATAAACACTAATACTTCTAATATTCTATTTTCTTTTATTATTTATGCTTTTATTTATAATAAAGTTAATTATATTTATATTAACAACTAATTTTTTTAAACCTATTTTTTGCCATTATGATTGCTGTTATCTAGTGTGTTTCAATAAAAGCTAATTCTAATTCGCTTATTCTTTACAGAACTCAAGAAAGTAGTAATATTTTAGATAATTTGCTATCACGTATGGAACAATACGCTAATAACTTAGAAACATTAGTTAGTGAACGTACACAGGACTATTTGGAAGAAAAGAAGAAGTGTGAGGAATTATTGTATCAACTTTTGCCAAAGTTAGTATTGAGTTACTGTTAAAATTCAATTATATCGTTGTACAGAAACCCCATTATCGTATGATGAGTAACCTACATCTTAAATACTCGTAGATTGAGTTTATTAAAAGACTTTTCGTAAATAGATTTCTATAATAATTGAGTTCAGGAGTTTATGAATTTTTCTTAACAAAATCTTTATCCGTAGGTCGGTAGCCTCTCAACTCATCAACGGCCAATCAGTAGTGGCAGAAACCTTCGAACAAGTCACTATTTATTTCTCTGATATTGTTGGTTTCACCGCTCTCTCTGCCTCCTCTACTCCAATGCAGGTTGTAGATCTGCTTAACGACCTTTACACGTGTTTCGACTCCATCGTTGAGAATTATGACGTTTATAAAGTAAGTGTATTAAATTTTATTAATGTATAGTTAAGAAAATATTGCTTACACATCCGATTTGTCTTGCTAGTGAAGTCATATCTATAATAAATCATCACACAGAACAATGAATCCACCAGATCGTATCTAGAACTATATTACCATGTCATTAAAATATTTTATTAGTATACATAACATAAGCTATACTCTTAATGAGTAACTGCATTTATACATGCCAATAGCATAATCGGGATTTATCTATAACATTCCATCATGGATTTCTAGTACGACATATTTGTAGTAATACTATCTTTTGATAATCCTAGATATATAAAATATATAAATATGTATAAAAAGATATATTTTGTAATTACTAATTTCATCTTCAAATTTAAAAGACAATGTTTTTAACTGATGAATTTAAAATTCGAGGCTAATACGGAAATTGTATACGTTAAAAGAGTATCAAATAATTAATTCTTTGTATGTACATGACAGGTAGAAACAATAGGTGACGCGTATATGGTAGTATCTGGTTTGCCGGAGCGGAATGGCACGCGTCACGCTTGTGAAGTCGCTAGGATGGCGCTCGCTTTACTTGATGCAGTCAGAAGATTCCGAATACGACACAGACCGACCGACCAGCTCAAGCTGAGGATTGGATTGCATTCTGGTCAGTGGAATCTTCGTCTTATTTACTCAAATTTCGTTTAAAAGTAAAGGGACTATTTGTATTCCCTCTTTTTCTATTCATTTAAATAATTTACTAGTTAGTAGTCATTGATCATTTTGTTTATCAAGTGATAGTGTTAAGATATATCTATAATATTTATTGAATTCAAAATGGTGTAGCAATAGGACTGTACTTAATTATGTGTTTGTGATATGTAATAGGCTTGCTTTATGGCAGATAATGCATAATTTTATATATTATTTATATTTCTCATTTCTCATTTCTTGTGCATACTTTATTCAAATACCAATTTAGTCTCAAGGATTTGTATCAAAAAAAAAAAATTCGAGTTCGATGCCAAAATTACGACGAAAACAAAAGTAAGGTTATACTTTATTTCATCCCTGTTGCCAAAAATGGCTTGTTTATTCCTGAAAGAAATTTTGTAGTAAGAAATATTTTTGAATCTGAAGATAAATAATGTAGAACGAAAATTTTGGACATTATAATGTTTTGTATATATTAAATTAAAAGAGCTTAACAAATACTTCTAACGTCTAACTTATTATAAATTTAAGATTTAGATGTGGTAAGCCGTTTGGTATGTCCAATACGATTTTTTACAAGTGTTATATTTTAAAACTTGATATATCAAGATGTTTGAATAATTTATTTATGTATGAATAAATCAGCATATACGATTGCATGCATAAATTAGCAGAGTCGAAGTATTTTTATGATATTTTATATTCACAATGGTTTTGTAATTGTTATTCCCCTAAAAATATGCTAATTTAGACAAGAAAGACGGCACGTGGTGTAAATATATAACGTAAAAGTTTATTCCTCATAAATAATATATCTCGGAGCGAGGCGTTATTGCAGACGAGCTTTGTGGATCAGTCTCATTTAAATTGCATGCAAAAATTTCAGATACCCGTTTTCAGTATAAATGATCTTTTAACGGGATTTTATACCGTCTTTTTAAAAATATTTAAGACATTCGTTTGTATTAGATTTAGTTGAATCTTTTTGTATGCATTTTGCTACAATCTACATTTAATTATTTGAGTAATAATTTATTTGCCATAATAATTTCAGGTACAAGATGAGATGATATTTCATTAAATTAAAATATTATCTCCAAATTCTAAGTAATATTGTAATAATTTTTATTATCAGGTCCCTGTGTTGCCGGGGTAGTTGGTTTGAAAATGCCCCGATACTGTTTATTTGGAGACACGGTTAACACGGCGTCAAGGATGGAGTCGAATGGTGAGGCTCTCAAAATACATGTGTCGCCAACTACTAAAGCATTGTTAGATACATTTGGAACATTCCGATTGGAGTGCAGAGGAGAGGTCGCGATGAAGGTAAGATATTATTAAGAATTTAATATGATGAGTTACTTTAAGTTATTGAAAGAGAACAGTTCTAGAGAAATAAATTCTATGGATGCCCACCAAGTAAACAGATTTTATCATACTATATTTGTACAATATTGTTTTATTTTAGGGAAAAGGAGTTCTAGTCACATATTGGTTATTAGGAGAGAAAGTTGATACGAGTGCACCTAAGGAAACAAAAGAAAAGAATCAACTTCCGAAATTGCAAAATCAATCTACGGATAGTGGATCATTATCTCATCTTACACAATTTAGAAATCGATTAGACCAAGGTTCTAGATCTTCTAGTAGAAGAGGTTCCGGTATACTGGTTCAAAAACAAGTAGATTTAAGCAAATTGGATAAAGAGGTCCAACCAATTTTACAAACTATAAGCATTCTGCAAAAACAGCATTCAGATCCTACAGAACCGATCTCTAATGGTGTAGCAGATACAGACGACGTAGACAAACTAAGTGTCAATAATGCAATACCACTTAATGTAAACTCCCTTCATAATAACTTTAATCAGACAGGTCAGCCCAAAGTTAAGTTGAAGGATAATCAGATTAACTTAATTGGAAATCATAAAACGAATAAAATAGGCAATAACAACTGGCTGTCAAAGCTACCTACAGCAAGTTCCTTTGACAACGGAGCTAAGAAAGTTAGTGAAAGACTTAAAGATTACAGCAGTGTACCTCTGTTATCAAAAGTTGATAAACCAAATGATTCCATTGTATGAGCATAAGTAAATAAATTTTGAGTCATTATAGACAACTATTTTAAGTAAGTTGAACTATTATAGCCACACAATGACAAAAACTATGTGAATGTGACTTTAGGATGTTATAAATGTTGTGATATCCTGTCTTTTTAGCCTGAATTCCTGCTGCTTATTATTAGTGAAGCCATAATTACGAAATTTAATACATATATATATTTTTAAGTAAATTAATTGTAAATATTTTTTATCATTGTGACACGTACTTAAAACATTTATGTATAATATAATTGTACATAATAATATAAAGGTTAGTTTTGTGATATTTCATATGTTTAAGTTACCATTATTAAAGTCAGAACCAATTAATTAATTCGTTATTTTTTTATTAAATTATTGTTTCATTTTAATAGATAAAAAATATATTTTTATTTAAGCGTCACGACCATTGATACGTATTTATTATATTTCAAAAAACATAAACTACTGTACATATTTTTCTCGGACATTTAATTGTGACCTAGAATAATGTAATTGTGTTTAAAATGTGGTCGACGAGAATAAATGTTTCAAAATATAAATGAAAATTAAATTATATGTAGTTTTATTATAATCATGGAGCGGCTGGATGGGATTAAGAAAAATATCACATAATATTTGTAAGAACAGATCTTAGTTAAAAAATATTAGTTTTTTCATAAATTTCATCACATAAGGCTAAAATGTTTACATGTTTATTTTAAAACTTTATTTTACCAATAAATTACGCTTTTAGCACATTTGTTTATTTTAATAAGTATATTTTTATGTAACGGTTTTTGTCAGATCGCGTTGCTACCGTTATATTTACAAATATTTCTGCTATTTCGCAAAATAATATATCACCATATGTGTTTATTTCGCACTCTATAATAAATGATGAAATTTATTAAGTTCAAAATAACTGTTATAGTTTCAAACTAGGATAACAGTTTTAATGATGCTGAATTTCTTTTTTATTTATCTCAAAGCTATTTATCAAATATAAAAAAGGTATGGTATTGTTTAATTTTACTAATATGTTAGAACTTATAACAGAGCTCTATTATTTATATGTCGAAACATAATATTGTTTTTAGAACTTGAAATTGTATGTCAAGTACCTGACAGGAGCTTCTATGCTTTTGTCAATTTAAATTATTATTATCATCGACTAGCTGGGAAGGTTTTTGTAAGGGCATTAGATTGATGATTTCATCAAAATCATCGGAATGTAATAGCGTTTATTGATTATAAACAATTTAGAGGGGATTCCTCTGGTAGGCAGTCTATATTTCAATGAATCCCAATGGTCTATATTGAATTTGCTGCGTCTGGGTGAGTTACAAGAAAAAGGACTTATTTATTCTTTATCTGAGCCTACGGTATTGATATGAAAAAATAAGTGTCTATACGCAATTTAAATGATTCTTTGTTAACTTACTTGCATTCTAATCAGATCAACGCCCAAGTTAATGCCAAACCCATTAATGTTAAAAGTTTTAAGTGAAGTTGAAGGTGAAAAGACATTTATATACCAGGATATAGTTATAAGTAAGTCAGTTCAGTCAGCATAAAATCCCTCTCTCATATAACGTTGAAATTAATCGTTAATTATTTTTATAAATTACTATTGTTTTTTATTTTTATGACTTAATTATTTATTTGACATAAGTAATACGAGCGTATCTTCCTAAGCTCATAATTAAAGACTTCGCTGACAAAATTAAATGTAAAAGCAATGAATTATAAAAGTACTTATTAATAAAAAAAAAAAACATAAAATTCAATTTTATTACTTTTTAATATTAGCAAAATAGCATTTTAATATTGATTCGAGACCTGAACAGAATGTTAATTAGAAATTCATAAAAGTCGAAATATTTAAATACTTGCAATAAATTTTTTTGTGTATTTTTTAGCTCTGATTTGACACGTGTTAAAAATCTATATACTAAGGTAGGGAGCGAGAAGTATAAATAATTAATTTTAATGCTAAACGAACAAAAGTCGTATACACTCGCCAAACTTAAGGCTACTATGACGCATGCTCTCAATTATCATACTAAAAAGCGTGCTATTGAGTATGCTTAATACAAGCATGCTTAGGAGCCGTTTACATTTGAGAGCAAAGCAAAGCTTGAGAGCAAAGGCGTGCTAGTTTTAAGAATGCTCCCGAATAAGGATGCTCAAAGCAAACATTCCAAATATACTTGCCATTTTATAGCGTGCTTTTCTACGTTTCTGTCAGTTTAAACAAAGTCATGGATAAGCAAACAGCAATCGGTATGGAGATAAATAAGACCATCCTTTTTCTGGCGATTCAATGCATTCTGAAGCTTATATCAGGTATGAAAAGGCTTATAAAAAGAAAAGAAAGACAATGATTTGGGTCCATAATTGGATATCTAGAAGACAGGACTTTGGAGCAAATGCTCAATGAAGTTGCAAATCTGGACTGATCGGTACTAGCATGCTTAATAAAAAAACTTGTTAAACGTGCTTAAAGTACGCCCTCTTACACACGCTTCTCTAGTAGCATGCTCAAAAATACTCAGGCTAGTTTTGAGCAACATTTCGACACTCATGCTACTAAGTACCAAGTGCTCAATTGAAGCATGTTTTCGTGCTTAAAATGAGCATGTGTAACAGCACCTTAACGTCTGATACAAGATTACGACCACCAGCTGCAAATTTCAAATTAGATTTTTTTAATTTTTATATCTCATTTACATCGTATAAATTATCATATTATATCATTTAAATTATTGATTCAATTTCTCATATCACATGAATTTAAAATCCTTTAAAGGAATTTACTTTTATTATGATGTATGTACAATAATGAGGACGACAATGCTAATTTGTAGTGTAGCTCTTGACAGTAAGATATAAAGTGCTCATTTGTCGGTTTTCTGGTCTCTCAAGTGAAGTAAGGCTCTTGTTCCAAAATAATTAATGGTATTTCTGACACGCAGGAAAATGGTTGTTGGAACTTCTTTTCTATGTAAAGAGAAATTGCTACCAGGTGTAAATGTTGGTCTAGCTTTATCTACAATAATATTATTTTTTGCACAATTGTCTTAAACAAATATAATAATCTCCTGTAACAACTTGTTAAGCACTAATACATATTAAAAATAAATGAAAATCGCCGGGGCAACGACGTTGTATGGATAAAAATATATCATATAACGAGTGACACAGCTGACTCCGCGGAACGAACACCAAGCCGTTTGAACCAGAAGATTCCTGATACCACACAAACTATGGAATGGCTCAGGAAAAAGTTAAAAGTTTTAATATGTAATTCTTATTATAATATACATATAAGTAAATTTCGTAGTTTCTCTGAAATCTCCGGTTGCTAATCTACACAATTAATTGAAAAATAATAGCTGTTGTTTTAAATAATAATAACTTTAAATGTAATAAAATCGAATAGATATAATAAAAATAAACATAATGTAAATGAATATTACTTTGATCTTTATTGCTCAATTCCCCGAAAATTGTCTAAATTGTCTTAACAGTTTATCTTAAAATGTATTTGTACGCCATAATTTTTAATTTCATTTACTACAATATAAATTTTTCATTTAATCAATGTTTTTTGTAGAGAATGTTAAATTGAAATGATCATTGACTGAAATATAATTTAAAAGTTTACTTCGAACTAAAGTAAAGATTAGCGTTACCTTGTAAAGAAGACTATACAACACCCTGCTCGTATTATATAACTAAAACATATATATAAAAATGTATCTATTTGTTTTATGAAATGTTTTTTAATTATTGTAAGATATTATTTGCTCTTACAATTTAATCTTGTGTTTGTATGCTAGAAGTGAACGAGATATAAAGATTACATATTTGAAGATCCATAATCACCTGTCTGAAGAAAAATATAATTTTAAAAGATAATATTGCTATCTTCTCACTACTATGTTAGGAAATTATAAACGTTGAGTTTATCGATAGCTCATCAGAACTATAATCCTTTTTCTTTATGTTTTTCTATTAACTGATAACAATATCATATATATCGTTTTAAAACATAATTGTGCTTAAAAATGCCTCTTCGAATAAATAAGACAAATTATGTAAGCCGGCTTATTTTGGTAGTTAGTTAAAAAGACAGAAATGAAATTAGTCAAAAAGGAAAGGCATTGAGTTATCTCACTTAATTAATGAAATACATCCGTGGCTTTTATGTTAAGTTCTAAGCAATATAATATTGAGAGTTTAATAAGAACACGTATGTACTTTATTTAAAACAGACAATATATACACTGCTATAAAAATGTGTCAGAAAGCACGTGCATGTAATGATTTTTTATAGTCCATTCTTAAACTGAATGTCTTATATTTATTGCGCAAACCGAGAAGAAACAGATTTTGAAATATTCCCGTCACTTTCCTACTTTGGGTTCGACTGATTTCAATACATTAGAGTGCTCCTCAACATAGTGGCATAAAGGCTTTGTACTTTCATGAAAGACGGAATCATTTTAGTGATCATTTAGTCTCAACTATAATACATAAAGTATTCCTTGCAGTTCATGACAAAATAAATTTTCAAACTAGACTTATAATTATGTTTAGTGTACTTTAAATAAATTTAAAAAAGTGTTTTTAAGTTAGTTTTGTTTTCAACCATCTACGTATCTCGTATCGTCAACAATAGCAAAGACAATTTTGTGCGTAATGTATGCAAAACGTGCTAACTTTAACTTGAAGTCTTATACTGTGTCACAGACTAGGTACTTTATACTTTTAATAAGATGTTTTCAGGGGTTAAATAATTGACTATTGTCTTCGTTCATTAAATTGGGATGTTTTTAAACTTAAATTGTGGTTCGAATTTCTCTAAATGTATATTTTTCTTTAACAGCGAAGATCTACAGTTTGTCAAATTAGAAGTAATGTTTGGGCCGGCTGGTTGCATGTAATGATGGACTACAACATGGTGACTACAACGAAAGTCTATTTTTAATGTCTTA